ACTTCGTCATCGTCTGCCATTCGGTTTTCGTCTTTCGGCTTTTTCGCTTCGTGCCTCCAGCACCCCCACCCCACCCCTGATCTAACTCATCATGGCATCGTTGGGCTCTCTTCCATTCGTTGGCTAACCCCCCCTTTTCTGTGGGGCTTGCTCTCGCAATGCTTTTCAATGCCAAGCCAAAGCAGCTGTTCCAGCGTGGTATTTGTTGTTTTTGTATTTTTTTTTTTCACGCTCGCATGTGAGCGCCCCAGTGCTGTGGGGGGGTAAAGGGAAGCTAGCGGGTGTTCGTGTGTGTTTGTTTTCTAGGCGGCAAGTGCAACGCAAATACCGTATTTTTTTTCAAAAGTGCGGGTGGCATAGGTTAGTTTTGAATAGGTATTTTAATAAATTAATGTTTTGGAAATCTTTAATTTCGTTAAAGCTGTTTATTCCCCAAAAGGATCTTAAGAGGGGATCTGATCGCGTACTCCCACTCTCTCTCTGTACAAGTATAAGACTCCTTATAAATAACGGACCTTTTCATCTTTTGTCTCTTTAAGCTTTCCCATTAACCCCTAGGTAATATTCTTAACAAAAATGCCTTTAAAGTTTAAGAAATAAATATTTTCTTAAATTTATTATTATAAAAATTTAAATTTTAAGTTTGTTTTAGCCAAAAAATGCGAGTAACTATTGTGCTTCGAAAATTCATTTTTTATAGCCTACTTAAGGGGGATGTATCAAAACAAATGCAAAATCTTCTAGTTATCAATAAAAAACTAGCAATTTGTTAAACAAATAAGAATTAAATGCTTTAATTAAAACATTTATTTTTGTAACTATTTATTTTTAAAATTGAATTTAAAAAATTACTACCCAAAACAGGCTTCTAATTGAGAAATTCTAACAATTGTTTACCTTTTATTCTATGAATAGTATTATTTTAACCAAACCCATAAGAAAACTTAAACTCCCCCCCCCAACACCCTACACTTGAAGGCATTTAATCACGCCTTGCGAATAGTAAGCAGAGAAGAAGGCAAAAATCATGACAAAGAAAGTTAGCAGCGCAATGATTTTAATTGGAAATCGTTTATGGGACAATGATTTCTCTAATCCCAATGACTTATAACGCCATTAGCAATGCAATTACTTCCAAAAAGGGTATTTCCAAATTCGCATTGCCTTAAGAAATGAAATAGTCGCTGTTTTGCTAGCTTCTGGCTATTGGTTGTTTCTCCTGAATGATGATGCTCTCTATTATTGTTGTTGTCATAAGAAACATACAACAAATTTTTCAAGTTCAACATGTCGCCGCTGGTTTTAATTTTAATCACACACACACACATAACACACAAAACATGAGCAATGTTGATTTTGTTGTTATTGTTAGTGCTGTGTTTTGTGGCTTTTTGTGTTACATTTTAATGTTATGCGGCCTTTGTTTGTTTGTTTGTTTATGCACACTAAACACACATATAATATTGTACATTTGGGGTGGTCCAAAGTCATGAGAAGTATGTTGGTACAAAGGGGCGTATGAGTGATATTTCAATTTTAAAGGTTTTTTTATAAAATGCATTTTTTTAATATTTTTAATTTTTAGTTTCAAGTTTGAAGCCGACTGTTATAAAATGCTCATAATGCCCACTGTGTTGCTGCCAAGCAAACAACGGAAACGGTAAACTTGCACGTGGAAGTAGAGAGAGCCTCCATGATCACAGTCTCTCAGTGCTCTCAGTGCTCCCATTGCTCCAAATAACTGTTCCAACTGTTCTTTGCGTAAATTTCTGCAGCTTTAACCCCTTTAACCCTTTGGTGATGTTACAAAAAAAAACCTAATATAAATATTGTTTTTTTTTAACAAATATTTAAGGAATGTTATTAATATTTAAAACCCAATAATAATAAATAAAAAATCTTGTCCACCCTAATATTTATGGGTACGTATATTTTATGGGACATTTGGCTGACTTTCTTTATTTAGACTTTTGGGCCGTAATGTCCTCTATGAGATATTATGTAGAGAGCAACTAACACAGACACACACACACCCATACACATAGTGAGCTCACATATCAAAAGATAACTGTAATGTTGTAATGTAGTCCATTTGCGACAAATATGCGCACCCAAAAAATGCTTCTCGGACAATGGTTGAAATTGTTCGCATATTCATGACCGAATTACCCACATTTGGGTTTTTCGGGGTGCAGCAGGGGGACGGGGAAAAGGGGTAGTAGAGAGAGAAATGGGAGGATGCTGACTCCAAGGAGAAGGAGGAGGAGGAGGGGGGTAGTACGAGATGGAGGCTGGAGGAATGACTGGACACAGCAGAACAAACAAAACCATTGGCAAGGCACGCAAATCTCGGCTATGACCAAAATATTTGCCAAAGTTCATCGAGACCTAAAAAAATGGGGAGTACACTGACAAAAAAAAATAGAGTGGACTTTATAAAATATTCCAGAGTTATTAAAAAATAAAAATATAATTCCAAGTTAGATAAAAAATTAATACTAATTTTTTTTTTTAATTTTAATAAATTTTTTTTCCGTGTATAGATGTGTAAAAAAAAATCCTTGCCAAGAAATCAAAGTGAGTGAGTGCGAAAGAGAGCAAGGGGTGGGGACTAGCAGGGGGGACAGATCCCCGCCGGATATATTAGCCAAGACAGGACAAGGACAGCATCATCGTTTCTATTCGCTGCCTGCGTCAATGACAAGAAATTTGTTGTAAGCTTCCCCTTTCCCCTCCCCATCCCCTTTGTGCCTTTCCAGCCAGCCAGCCGCTCCACCTAGGCTAGAGCCACCCAAAAAACAAAAAAAAAGGAGGGAGAAAGAGGGAGAGAAAAAAAAAACCCAACCATAAAAACCGCTACCCATTCCCCCCGCATGCCCAGCCAACCTTTTCACGATGGGCAACTAATATTTGCCAAGCGTAAAGTAATAAAATATTTCTTTGGTCAATAAATGCAATTGAATGTGAAGCGCCAGAGCCCAAGGAAACGATTGAAAAATGGAAACGGATGGGGAAGCAGAAACAACAAAGAAAAAAAAAGTGGGGCATCATTCAAAAAGTAAACGAATTTTAAATGTACTATAATATATAAAATTATATACAACAAATTAAATGAAATAATAAACTTACCGTTACTTTTACTTGTAAATTGCAAATTGCACTTTCATTCACCTTTCATTGTTCTGTCTTAAGTTAACGGTTCTTGGCGTAGGGTACGTTTTACGTTTTTCAAGTCATTCACACACACTCACACTTTCACACACGCGCCACGTTTTTCACCAAAATTTGCACTAGAAACTTAAAAAAACAAAAAAAATGGCAAGATTATACGATAGTTAGTATATATATTAACTAGTCACTTTGTTTAAAACACTTTTTCACAACGATTGGGAGCGATTAAAAGTCAACTAACACACGCGGTACCCAAGCCACCTTTTATCTTTAAGCACTGGAACCTGAATGAAGCGCATGGCAGAATGCAGAAAAGAACTTAGCTCATGGGAAAGATGCCGGGAAAGGTGGGAGTAATTTTGATCGTGCGGGAAGAGAGAGTGCAATTAAGAGCAGAGGCTGGCCAAGGCGGAAAGATCCAAAGTGCTTTCCAGAGAGAGCTTAGTTCTTAATATTAACATTAACATTATTTTAGCCGATCTTTACACACTTTTTCTACTAAAATAAATCTAATTTACATTTATTTTAATAATTTTAAGTAAAACTTGACATATTTCTTGCCAATACACTATAATTTCTTCCTTCTTTTGAATTTCCTTTAAGCTCTCTTTTTTTTACACTCTCGAGCCATTTTAATGCCCACTCTGCTCTTACTATTTCCATTCAGAGGCATTCGTAAAAGCTTTTATTGTCATTTGTTTGCTTTAGAATGCAATAAAAATGTTATGCCAAAGGATAAATAAATACGCCTGCATGTTGCCAAAAATCAACATGCAACTGACACGATATATCTATTCCATATATAGTATGGATGTCTCTAGAGAGGGTCTGTGTGTGTCTGTTTATATAAAGGAGGGCACATAAAGGCAGGATGACCATCTCAAAAGGACACTCGAGAGCGGATATGACAACAGTGCGATGAAAGGCCAGGCCAAAGAATGCGAACAAAACTAGACACTTGTATTATTGGCGTTTGGAAATTGGTCAAGAAATTGGAAAAATATATCTATTATATTTAGAAAATGGGCTGAAAAAATATATATTATTTTTTAAGAATAAAGTTCAGTTTTTTCAAAATAGAGATTAAACCTAATAAGAAACTTGATTGTATACACATACATATACTATTGATATTATCGTACAAAGCTTTATTTTTTTAATTAATTTAATTTCAGAGTTTTTTTTAAACTTAAATTCCTAAACTCAAATTTTTTAGTAAAATTTTGTTTTTCATTATGGTTTTTAGTTAATGAAAATTCATTTTCTCTGGAAAATAAAACTATAAATGATTAAACCAATAGACTAAAATAAAATTAAAGTTAAAGTTTTTAATCTAAGTTTAAGTTTTAGGTTAAGCTTTAAAAAAGAATCACACTACACTAATACACACATAACAGGAAATATTACTCAACTTCTAGGAACCACTTTTGGTCCTTCGAGACTATATCTATAAAAACAGAAAAAAAAGCAGTAGAAATCAAAATAACAGAAGAAATAACAGAAAATTAGTATACTAAAGATGAATAAAAACTTAAATAATTAAAAAATAAACAGGAATGTATATTGAAAATATAAGCAGTTTTTGGAACAGTTTCTCTTTCCTCAAATCTTACTCTTTACTCTTTAAAATGTTTTGGCTTCGCTGGTTTTTATTTAACCCTCAAAATTAAAACTATGAAATGTATATGATATAGTATCTACTTAATATATATTAACTAAATAGAATAAGTATATATAAGTATATAATATAAGTATAAATAACAAAAACAACCCTAGGAAGAGTCATAGTAACCTGTAACCAAAAATCAGACCCAAAGTTAGACATAAATCTGATGTAGAAAAGTAATTTTTGGGAAATTCCAAAAAAAAAAGAAAAAAATCAATAAAAATAATCGCAGTTCAAGATATAGTTTAGACTTCAGACAAAAAATAAAATACCAAAAAATGACCGTACGCGATTATTTTCGAAAGTTCCTATTAATGAACTGGAAGAACCACAAGATACAGATATCAAATCCCCTGGAACTGACAATATTGACCTTTTCAGCGCCATTGTTCACCATGTTTGCGGTGATACTACGTTGTGTAATACCCGTGGATCAGAGATCGGATAAGGTATACGAACCGATCGATTTGGATCGATCATGGCTGGAGATGATCGACGCCCTGGAAAATTCCCACAAATCGGCCATGGAACAGAACTATAGCAGTAATATGTTTTGCCCGGAAATGGTGATTGGATGGGCACCCGAACCCTATAATATATTCGAGGAGATAATGACGATAGCGGCCAAGTCTCTGGTCGCCATGAAAATATCAAAATATGTCAGTTGCGAGGAGCTGGAGGAATCAGTTCGATCCGACCATATATTTGCTGGCATTTGTTTCGATAATGCCCACTTCGAGGTGGACTATATCTTCGAGGACGGTGTCCTGGCCAGTGATATGTCCATAAAACCGGTACTCAACTATACGGTCATACTGCCCAGTGAGTTGCGGCAATCGGAGGGTATATTTTCGATGGCCAATTGGATGACACTCTACAAGGACGATCCCACGGACTATATCCTGAATAGACTAAATCAGCCCTATACGGGGGGCTATGTCGGTTATGTCCGTGAGGGATTTATTCAAATGCAGAAAACGATCACCGAATCCTTTCTTCAGGTGATTAGCCGTAAAAAGCTACCGAAAGTGGTTTTGCGTCGTTTTCCCGTTCTGGCCAGAAAAGAGGATTCATTAATGCTCTTTTTGGAGTATGGCTTGGCATTATTGGTAATAATGGGCTATCTATTTCCATCGCAGTTGCTAGCTTGGGTAAGTTTTTATTTATTTTTATGATCTGAATGATTTCCCTTTCCGCCTATCATGCATTTCTCGATAGAACCAATTGATAACAAGAAAAAAAAGCTAACTTCAAGCGGAGACTAAGTTGGTAAACCCTTGCGGTAAAGATCGGATATTTATCGCAAAAATCGCATATAGTAAGCCAATCAAGACAAGAATTTTATTTTAAAACAGATTTGATTTTATGCCATTTTTCTTGTTGGAATCCCAAAAAAAAGAGGGTTTTCCCCTATAGGGTCCACTGCGATTTCTATATCTTCCCCAATTCCTATCCGATTCTAAAGCGGAGTACCTTCAACGATTTCTAGATCGATTTGCTACCATTCCGCATCTAAATCCCGGGACATAATATTTTTTAGATTTTTTGTCAATTTTTCGTGATGGGATCCCTTGAAAATGGGGTTTTCGCCTAAAGGGTCCAACGCGATGTCTATATCTTCCCCAATTCCTATCCGATTCTCAAGCGGAGTACCTTCAACGATTTCTAGATCGATTTGCTACAATTCTGCTTCAAAATCCCGAGACATAATATTTTTTAAATTTTTTGTCAATTTTTCGTGATGGGATCCCTTGAAAAAGGGGTTTTCCCCTATAGGGTCCACTGCGATGTCTATATCTTCCCCAATTCCTTTCCGATTCTCAAGCGGAGTACCTTTAACGATTTCTAGATCGATTTGCTACCATTCCGCATCTAAATCCCGGGACATAATATTTTTTAGATTTTTTGTCAATTTTTCGTGATGGGATCCCTTGAAAATGGGGTTTTCCCCTATAGGGTCCACTGCGATTTCTATAACTTCCCCAATTCCTATCCGATTCTAAAGCGGAGTACCTTCAACGATTTCTAGATCGATTTGCTACCATTCCGCATCTAAATCCCGGGACATAATATTTTTTAGATTTTTTTTCAATTTTTCGTGATGGGATCCCTTGAAAATGGGGTTTTCGCCTAAAGGGTCCACTGCGATGTCTATATCTTTCCCAATTCCTATGCGATTCTCAAGCGGAGTACCTTTAACGATTTCTAGATCGATTTGCTACCATTCCGCATCTAAATCCCGGGACATAATATTTTTTAGATTTTTTTTCAATTTTTCGTGATGGGATCCCTTGAAAATGGGGTTTTCGCCTAAAGGGTCCACTGCGATGTCTATATCTTTCCCAATTCCTATCCGACTCCTAAGCGGAGTACCTTAAACGATTTCTAGATTGATTTGCTACCATTCTGCATCAAAATCCCGAAACATAATATTTTTTAGATTTTTTGTCAATTTTTCGTGATGGGATCCCTTGAAAAAGGGGTTTTCCCCTATAGGGTCCACTGCGATTTCTATAACTTCCCCAATTCCTATCCGATTCTAAAGCGGAGTACCTTCAACGATTTCTAGATCGATTTGCTACAATTCTGCTTCAAAATCTTGAGACGAAATATTTTTCTGTTTTTTTGTCAATTTTTCGTGATGGGATCCCTTGAAAAAGGGGTTTTCCCCTATAGGGTCCACTGCGATGTCTATATCTTCCCCAATTCCTATCCGACTCCTAAGCGGAGTACCTTAAACGATTTCTAGATCGATTTGCTACCATTCCGCATCTAAATCCCGGGACATAATATTTTTAGATTTTTTGTCAATTTTTCGTGATGGGATCCCTTGAAAATGGGGCTTTCCCCTATAGGGTCCACTGCGATGTCTATATCTTCCCCAATTCCTATCCGACTCCTAAGCGGAGTACCTTAAACGATTTCTAGATCGATTTGCTACCATTCCGCATCTAAATCCCGGGACATAATATTTTTTAGATTTTTTGTCAATTTTTCGTGATGGGATCCCTTGAAAATGGGGCTTTCGCCTATAGGGTCCACTGCGATGTCTATATCTTCCCCAATTCCTATCCGACTCCTAAGCGGAGTACCTTAAACGATTTCTAGATCGATTTGCTACCATTCCGCATCTAAATCCCGGGACATAATATTTTTTAGATTTTTTGTCAATTTTTCGTGATGGGATCTCTTGAAAATGGGGTTTTCGCCTGAAGGGCCCACTGCGATGTCTATATCTTCCCCAATTCCTATCCGACTCCTAAGCGGAGTACCTTAAACGATTTCTAGATCGATTTGCTACCATTCCGCATCTAAATCCCGATACATAATATTTTTTAGATTTTTTGTCAATTTTTCGTGATGGGATCCCTTGAAAAAGGGGTTTTCCCCTATAGGGTCCACTGCGATTTCTATAACTTCCCCAATTCCTATCCGATTCTAAAGCGGAGTACCTTCAACGATTTCTAGCTCGATTTGCTACAATTCTGCTTCAAAATCTTGAGACGAAATATTTGTCTGTTTTTTTGTCAATTTTTCGTGATGGGATCCCTTGAAAAAGGGGTTTTCCCCTATAGGGTCCACTGCGATGTCTATATCTTCCCCAATTCCTATCCGACTCCTAAGCGGAGTACCTTAAACGATTTCTAGATCGATTTGCTACCATTCCGCATCTAAATCCCGAGACATAATATTTTTTAGATTTTTTGTCAATTTTTCGTGATGGGATCTCTTGAAAATGGGGTTTTCGCCTGAAGGGTCCACTGCGATGTCTATATCTTCCCCAATTCTTATCCGATTCTCAAGCGAAGTTCCTTCAACGATTTCTAGATTGATTTGCTACCATTCTGCATCAAAATCCCAAGACATAATATTTTTTAAATTTTTGTTCATTTTTCTTGAAGGGATCCCTTGAAAATGGGGTTTTCCCTTATAAGGCCCACTGCGATGGCTATAGCTTCTCTGTATCTGATCCGATTCTCAAGAGGAGCACCTTAAACGATTTCTAGGTCGATTCTCCACCATTCTGCATCAAAATCCCAACACAAAATATTTTTCAGATTTTTTGTCCATTTTTTTTGATGGGATCCCTTGAAAATGGGGTTTTCCCTTATAGGGCCCACTGCGATGGTTATAACTTCTCTGTATCTGATCCGATTCTCAAGAGGAGCACCTTAAACGATTTCTAGGTCGATTCTCCACCATTCTGCATCAAAATCCCAACACAAAATATTTTTCAGATTTTTTGTCCATTTTTCTTGACGGGAACCCTTTAAAATGGGGTTTTCGCTTATTGGGTTTACTGCGATGTCTATATCTTCCCCAATTCCTATCCGATTCTCAAGTACCTTAAAAGATTTCTAGATTGATTTGCTACCACTCCGCATCTAAATCCCGGGACATACTATTTTTTAGATTTTGTGTCAATTTTTCGTGATGGGATCCCTTGAAAATGGGGTTTTCCCCTATAGGGTCCACTGCGATGTCTATATCTTCCCCAATTCCTATCCGATTCTCAAGTACCTTAAAAGATTTCTAGATTGATTTGCTACCACTCCGCATCTAAATCCCGGGACATAATATTTTTTAGATTTTTTGTCAATTTTTCGTGATGGGATCCCTTGAAAATGGGGCTTTCGCCTGAAGGGTCCACTGCGATGTCTATATCTTCCCCAATTCCTATCCGACTCCTAAGCGGAGTACCTTAAACGATTTCTAGATTGATTTGCTACCATTCTTCATCAAAATCCCGATACATAATATTTTTTAGATTTTTTGTCAATTTTTCGTGATGGGATCCCTTGAAAATGGGGTTTTCGCCCAAAGGGTCTACTGCGATGTCTATATCTTCCCCAATTCTTATCCGATTCTCAAGCGAAGTACCTTAAACGATTTCTAGATCGATTTGCTACCATTCTGCATCAAAATCCCGAGACATAATATTTTTTAGATTTTATGTCAATTTTTCGTGATGGGATCCTTTGAAAATGGGGTTTTCCCCTATAGGGTCCACTGCGATGTCTATATCTTCCCCAATTCCTTTCCGATTCTCAAGCGGAGTACCTTAAACGATTTCTAGATCGATTTGCTACCATTCTGCATCAAAATCCCGAGACATAATATTTTTTAGATTTTATGTCAATTTTTCGTGATGGGATCCCTTGAAAATGGGGTTTTCCCCTATAGGGTCCACTGCGATGTCTATATCTTCCCCAATTCCTTTCCGATTCTCAAGCGGAGTACCTTAAACGATTTCTAGATCGATTTGCTACCATTCTGCATCAAAATCCCGAGACATAATATTTTTTAGATTTTATGTCAATTTTTCGTGATGGGATCCCTTGAAAAAGAGGTTTTCCCCTATAGGGTCCACTGCGATGTTTATATCTTCCCCAATTCCTATCCGATTCTCAAGCGGAGTACCTTAAAAGATTTCTAGATTGATTTGCTACCATTCCGCATCTATATCCCGGGACATCATATTTTTTAGATGTTTTGTCAATTTTTCGTGATGGGATCCCTTGAAAATGGGGCTTTCGCCTATAGGGTCCACTGCGATGTCTACCTGGTCGAAATAAATATTGGGACACTTTATTTTTTTTAAATAAAATCGTAAATGATTTTTAATTTTTTTTGTTTTTATTTTATTTGTAAATATAGAGAAGAAATGCATTAAAAACAGATACAATTTTTTTATTTTACTGATCCTTTTCACGAAAATTGATATTGTTATGTTAGCTCCCTTAGAAATAATTATTGGGACACTGTAAAGAAAATAATTTTAAAAAAATTTATAATTTTAGAAAAAAAATATATTTTCTTACCTAATAGTGGGTATTGCCTCCGTGCTTTGAAATTACTTCAGCCAAGCGTTTAGACATTAAATTAGCCAAATCCTGCAATGTTTTTGTTCGATTTTGGCCTATTCTTCAACAAAACCCTTCTTGAGCTGTGCCAAATTTTCAAACTGTCGTCCATTGCTGTATACTATATTTGAGAGTATACCCCACACATTCTAAATCGGGTTTAGGTCGGGACTACAAGCCGGCCACCCCAAAAGTTCAATTTTTTAATCCTCAAAAAACTGCTTTGACACTTTGGATACGTGGAAAATTAACTTTTTCTCAAAATAAGTTTCGCCAAACATATCAAA